TGGTATACACAAGTTCACAGTTGGTATAGTTTTGTCCTGACAGAAGAAAAAGGTGCTAACAGAAGCCAAAAGACAAACGAGGTTGAAAAACTATGTACATGGAGAATCACAGTTGTCAAGAGTACATGGGGAACGGCTCTATTCCATCAAACACTGGGGGGGTTAAATTTATTTTTTTTTTTAACCTTTCATCAGAGGAGCAGTCTCACAGATCTTTGTCTAACTATTGCTTTATCTAAAATGTTGTGCTCATCAGTAAAAATTAAGAGAAGTGTCATCTGTGTTTTGGAGTCATGTAGTAGGACTGTTCAGATTCATAACATACTCCTATTAACCTAGTTCAATCCCACTAATAAATTCTGAAAACATTAAAGGAAAGCAAACCCATTTTTTCCTACAGGAAGCTAATGCTTCATCAAGAGTGCATGGCAGAAGCCCTTCATTGATTGGTGCTGAATAACAGGTACTGAGAAAACAATTACTTCTCTCTAAAGCAAGGGGTCATTTGACATAAAGAAGTGATGGGGAACAAATGCAGAGGAAGTAAAAGATGTAATTGGCAAATGGGTCCACTACATGAAATTGATTAACATTGTTAATGACTTTGGTAAAATAGTTCACTGAGTTGGAACCAATGAAGGAAAACGATAAAGGATGACAGCATCTCACGTGCACTTTGTCAAGTCACTGACATACTTATAAACTCCTGAATGAGGAGCCTGCAGTTGCCACAGCCTCACAGGCAGAAATCAGCAGAAGCAAATTCTGTGTCATTAAATACAAGAGGTAAACACTGTTTTCTTTAGGGTCAAGAAATGTAATTGGACTATCAAAGCTCAGGTAAGCTCACTGTCTTCTCGGCAATGAGCAAAAAATAAATCCACTCCTTCCTGCCACATGGAAGTTGCTTGTAAAATTTTAAAATATTTGCTTAAAAAAACCCCCAACAAACCTTTTAAAAGAATTGTGTTTTCCCATGACAAAGCGTGCAGACTATCTGTACCAGACCCTTTCCACCTGTGTCTAGTCTCTAAAAGTGTTTGCTAAAGGGGCAATCATTTATTAAAGAAGAGCAGTTGAGTTAAAACCTTATTCACTCTTTCTGTAGCTCCTTAACTTTAATTTCTTTCTTTAGTTGCTGCAGAATATTGGCAGATAATTTGCAGGTGAATGAATTTTAAAATTTAAACCATATTACTATATTTAGAGTTTAAGTGTTTTCCTGTATGGGTTCTATAAATTATAAACTATGCTTCCATTCTAATTTTGTCACTTAGCTAATTTATTTATAGTATAGTAAGGACAGCTGTATCCCAACAGGCTATCTAAAAAATAGGACAAAAGCCCTCATAACCTTGATTTGTTACAATGATCTAAATAAATCCCTAAAACAAAATGAGTGAAACACAATATCAAACTATACACAAGCATATACAGAAATACATTCTTAAGGTTTTTCAAAATTAAACTGACCTTTATTAGAAAACAAATATAATTTGCTGTATTTTCTGTAGCTACTCAACTGCATTTAATGGGATATTCTGCTACAATGTAGATGCAAAAGACACTAATGTTATAAAGTGATCTTGCTGTTAACTGCATGTTCTCTGAACTCTGACTCAAAAATGATATGTATAAATAACTAGCTGAAAAGAAGCAAACACTACAATTACATTTTAATTTTAGCATTTAGATAGCTATTGCAGATAGACAAATGATGCAGCACAGGCACAAATTTGATTTCCAGAAGAAGCCTGATTATGATTCAATTAGCCCCAACATAGCCACCAGGTGTTTTTTTCCTGATAAATCTAAGCAGATATAGTAGACAATTATGTTCTTACCAGAGCTAAAATGGGAAAAAGCAGAAAGCTTTGAGGACCACAGTGGTGGTTCATCCTGTGAACACCGTTAAATTATACTTTAAAGTTTATTGGGTTCAAAGAACTAAGTTTCATATTTATCTGTCTAGAAAATGTTAAAACAATGTCAAAAGCCAGAAAACAAATGTTTTAATTGCATTTTAACTAAAAAAAAAAAAAACCCACAACAATACAACACACACCCCTCAAAAAAAAAACCAACCAAACACAAAACCCACAAAAAAACCAAACCATCCCAAAGGCAAATTTACAACAGCCTGACAAATAAGACACTTCTGAAAAATATACTCTGGCTTAGAAGGCTTGTGCCTTTTCGTTTGGCTCCAATTGAACTTCCCCTTCATTAAACAATAATCTTTATAGTGAATTCCAATAAAGATAAAAAAAAATATTCTGAAAAGAACGCATAAATAATTCTGGTTGCCTAGCTGTGGCAATGAATTCCTGTTTGTTTTGCCACTGAAGGGGTGAATGCAACCCTTTGAGCAAATGGGAATTCATTATTCCAGTGACTGAGAAATGATCTACTTAAAGAACCTAATTGGTTCCACAACAGTGATTTCTTTCAAAGCAACTTTTCCGGAATAAACAAGAAAAAGACGACAGTTCTTTGATGAGTACAGGGTCTACAGAGTACATTTGCCTTCCCATGTTTCAGCTTTAAAAAGAAAATGTCACACATACCCAGGACAAAGGAACAAAGACCTAGTATTTTAAAAGGTACAGAAATATAGCAGGTCTTTCCACTTCTTTCAGCTTTCAGTAAAGCTGAATTTCAATAAATATAAGTGCATACTCATGACACTTGAACTGTTGGTAAGAAAGAAAATACTGTACTGACCACAGTTTCAACTCTTTTCAAGACTGATCATTAGTAGCTAAAAGCTACTTGAATATTTTACTATGCAACTGAAAAGTAATCATTATTTACCAGTAAGTGCTATAGAATAGGTGAATTAATATGCCCAGTATGTTGAAGCAAACAGAATTCTGTCATTTATTTTTAACCTAATGAATTAGAATATGCAAAAAAGAAACTCAGACACACAGATAGATACAGTTCTCATTTACATCTCAATAGTTACGCTGGAAGAATAAAAATCATATACTGATTGTTTCATTTAAATGCAGAATCTTAAACTTTTCTGGAGGTAAGGTGCAGTTCAGAAACAAATCTGATTCATGTTAATGGATGGATATTTACTTCAAAATGAGCTTCAGAGCAGCAAATTCACATTCATACTGAAATCTGAGAAAAATCTTCCAGTTCTGTGCAGATTTAAGAAGTGATTTAATGTTATTTTTAGAACTGCCATGAGTGATATAAAAGGAGTTAGTGCATTATTTACACATCACTTTCAATGTTGATATAACATTGATATTAAATACTATTGATATATTTTTGAATATAATTGATATTAAATACTCAGATTGAAACAGAAATCTCTCCATCCCTGTTACTCAATGTACATCCCTATTATTAAATGTACACATCAACGCAGTTGTAATACACCCAAAGCAATAAGAATAATTTCTGTTTTCACAGTGCAGCTCAGTATTTCCATTTGTGCCATGAGAGAGTAGTCTGGATGGCTGGCAACAAGAACAGACCACAGCAGTCCGTGACATAAAATCTAAAAATTATGTAGTAAGCAGGATTGCAATTTATATTCTGTAACACACACACACTCATGTATGACACACCAACCAAGGCCCTATCCCTCTGGTCCAGCTTAGACCTGCACCACAGACCCAGAAAACACTTGTCTGGGACATTTGTGTCCCACCTGTAAATACATCAAGCCCTGTGCTCCATCCTTTCGCACAGTGTTTCCATCTTGAGTACAAACACCGAAGCATTTTTGCAGGCCCACAGATGTGTTACTTGCACCATCCTTTACCCCAAAGGGCTAATGTTTTCAATATTTCTTACTTTCTGTATTAGCATAAGCAAACAATGGTTTCGCTCATCCCATAGCTGATCTAATTTCTTTCTACATATTTAAATCAGGTTATTAATTGCTTCAGAGGTTTCTCCTACCCTCTGGACTCCTCCCTGAATGTGTTAAAAAAAGTTCAAAGTTTGTCCACTGCTGATACGAGCTCCAAATCGGAATAATCCAGTCAGATGGAGATGGGCAAGTGTCATCAAGGTCTTATCTGGATGATGTTGTGACAGCACATATGTCCTTTTGCCTGCCTCACATCTAAAAAGCTACTAAACTGTTAAGTGGCTTAGTCTTTTCTGTGTTCATTTCTTGACTTTGTCTTCAGAGACAATTTAGAGACCCTCTGCCTGAAAGCTCATGGAAATAAAAAAGTTGCAGATGCTTATCCTGTAATCTCAGTTATTCTACATAACCAAACTGCTAAGCAAATTGTTTCTTAGACACCTGTACCTTGACAGTGGATCAGCATTTTGTCCCAAAATGAGTCTAGGTGATGGCTATTGAAAAGTACACAGAGCAAGAAACTAAGAAATTCAAAGGAACAAAGATGCGGCAATAGCTTAGCATTATTGCTTACCTCACAAAGGATTTTTCCCATTCAGTTGGGTATCTAAAGTTCACAAAGACCTGTGAGACCACACCAGTGTGGTCAGCAATCAGCTAGAGGCACAACAAGAACTTCAGGAGCACATTTGAAATATACTGAAAAATGCTTGCACTAGTAATTGCATCTGATATCCTGCTTATTTAGCATATGCTATATATATATAACGAAACTTCATTTGTTTTTATACCTACTGACTGAGCATACCACTAGCAAATAACACTCATGCTTCAATTATTCTGTGACTGAAAAGTACTTCTGCCTAATAGTGCATTAGCACTGTAGCCACAGTTTTCGGTTTCCATCTGTTGCAATAGTTATGCCAGGTCAAATGAGATATTGAATATACCGTGATTATAATTTTCTTTAACTTTTACTGGCTGAATTTTTAGGTAATTCTTTTTCAATCCAATATTTTTCAGTAATTATTTCTACAGTGATTCTCTAGTAAAAGTTTTTTTAAGTTTTATGATAGACTGACTTGTATCTGCACCTTATCTGACTTGTTTCACACTTCTTACATTGCTTTACACTTATATGCACTGCTTTCAACCAGTTGCTCACCTTAAATATGATGCTTGCAGTTACATCTTTGGGGAAAGCCATGCTTCAGCAGACAGATGAATCCTGTTATTTGAGAAAAGATATTGAAACAAGAAGGTTAACATCTCTGCATGACCATGTATTCTAACTAAATATTTAGTGGAAGTTCCACTTCAATTGGTATGTCAACCAAAGACAATTCTCACTATCCTTTCAATAACCACTTAATGATTTAAAAAAACAGGCCCCTGAGACATCACGAATTCCAAATGACAGTTGAGTTATTACAATTTTCCAAGTTAGTTTTTGTGCAAACATACAAACCCCCTCCCATCAAAAGTGACATATCTTGCTTTATCCTCAGTGGTAGGTATTTAAACTAAAACATTTTAGGTAACAATCACAAGCTAAAGGCTTTGCTATCAGTTTCCATAGCTGACCTAGCATACATTGCAGGAGTCTGACTGTACCTGGGCATTGGACTAGACAAGAGTTCCTTATTATTTAAATCACACCATAGTAAAGAAACATTAATTACAGTTTTATTTCCATTATATTTCCACATAACAGGGGTTATCTTCACATTTTATTATTATTAGACTAACTCTGATGACTCAGTTTAACAACAAGCTGAATCCTTGGCACATAGCATGTTTAGAATTTTTTAGACTTTGGAAATATGTTTGGTGTTTGAAGTAGGAGTCTGAAACTCAGTATACCTAGATTTAGTTTCAGATTTCGTTGCATAAATTTAAACAGTAGTTTCCAGTCCCTCTCAGTTCCCCTTCAGTGCCATGATGATAGTGAACGTCCCAAACTTTTAAAGTGGATTTGAGATCCCTACATAATGGATTAAATACTATTAGTAATGCACTCTAATTTAATATGCATAATAAATGTTTCACAATTGTGACCCTAGCTTACACTCATCTAGCACTTAACTGGAACACAAAGTAATATCACAGCACCAATTCATTAGGTGTAACAGGGACTGATGAAGGCACAGTCCATTTTATTGGAACTAAACTGAAGTAAACAATTTAAAATACACCGCAAGTGTCTCCTGGACACTTGATTAGCAGGGAGATGCTAACTATCATCTGTCCATCATGAAAACCCAGGCAACAGTGCACAATTAAACTTTCAAACAAGCTGAAGTGAAATCACATTGCAGTACAAACACATTATGCAGTAATTAGCACACTTACTCCACAGAAATGTAATAAAGCAGCTCTCATTAGCATGCTCTGATGAATTAAAAATCTTCTTTTTATTTAATACTGTTTCACAGAGTAATGAGCAATTGTACAAAAAAATTACAGAACAACACATTCAGCTTAGCGTGCCATGCAAGGGATGTGCATAAAGCCAGTTTCCAAAAAAGTATGTAACCTAGTATTAAATGCTAGTGACAATTTTAGACAAGCATTTTTCAAAAGGACTGAGCTCTTAGGGAAATTAGTTGAAACTCTGTAATTGGTTTTGCTTCATAAACATGATAGAGGATTTCTGTTTACATTTGCAGAAGATTTTGATTTACAAATTATGTTTTGTGTCTTCCTCCTCAAGGAATTAGCACATTTTCAGCCTCCATGGAAATAATCTTCCTGAAGCAAATGAGATGTGCCCAAATATTTACTGAATTATATACAAAATACATGGCTTTTATTCAACTATTCCTTAAGTAAAACTCCTTTTCCTTAAGAAAAATTGTAAACCCTTCAATCTTATCTACACATGACAATGGACAAAACAATAGTTACAGAGTTAAGAAAGCACAAGAATCACACTCTTCAAATGGCACAATGCAGAGTAGCACAAGCAGTTAATAGAAAGATCCAGAATACTAGCTGTTGGAATAGCTGCTAGAAGAAACTGTCTGGGGGGAAAAAAAAAAAAAAGGAAAAAGAAAAAGGAAGTATTATGCAACTAAATTTGTTGCATTTCATGGAGAACAAAGTGGACCTTTTTCTTTGTAAGTGTTGAAAACTGAATTTGTTTAAATGTGACTGATCCCTGTCATTTACCTACAACAGATGGAAAATATTAAAGGATATACTCAGAACTAGTATCAGAATCAATTATAAAGTACATTATATGTAGTAGTGGTGGAGCAACACTCTCAGCTTTAAAAAAGGTAGATAAACTATGCTATGATGGCAGGCGTTACTTAGGTGAAGGCTGGAAATCAGTTGCATTACCACAGTTCTCACAGAAGTCCTGTGAGCTTCACAGGTTCCCAAGCTTCACTGTCTGGTGAAATTAGGTGCTGTGGGTATCTGGTTTTTTAATCATCAAATCAGTGCAAAACATATTGAACAAACATAATCATTTTTATTTTTTCTTATCTACTGTGAAGAGCAAATGGTTTTCACTGAACCATATTGGCTTTTAAGTACTTAGGCTCCAAAGTGATAATTTTCCAGTGCTAATTAAATGTAGTTGGAAACAATTACAGAAATAAACAATACAAACATGCTCTGTAGAAAAGAGTTTGAAGTGGAAAGCAGTTTCACTCCATCAGTATTGGTTACAGACTGTCATACAGTCTGTATGTCTACACTATGCAGACATAGTGCTTAGAGATATGATTTAGTGACAGTTTTTGTCAGTGCTAGGTTGACAACTGGACTAGATGATCTGAAAGGTCTCTTCCAACCTAAGCAATTCTATGATTCTATTTTATGATTCGATGTTCTTAGGTGCCGATAAGGTCCATGAACAGGTTTAAAAGCCTTTTCAAGAAAAAGTCATTTATAAATACACACTCTGTCGTTCTACTAAGCTTCTCATGCTTATTAGCAGCATTAATTATCATGTGTTCTCCTACAAATTGAAACTTACACAGATGTGATTATCTCTGAAGTATACAACTGGTTGATTCCTGTTTTGCAGAAACATTAATTACCATGAGCTGTTACAAGTCCAACTGGTGATATAGCTTATGCAGATTTGCTTCACATCAGAAAATTCCTTTCCTCTTACCTGGTTTGCTATGTTAATTAACAACACTACAGAAAGAGAGAGCCTAACTATGAAGCTTTTACTAGAGTGGCTTCTATTGTAAACCCAAACATCAAACAAAGAAAACAAAACCCCCTTCCTTTTTTTACCTCTTTCAAGTGCAACAGTGCATCTAAAGACACTGGGATCATGCAAACAACTGAAGCTATAAAAATATTGTAAAAGAGAGAATGCAAGTTTGTTTAAATGAGGACAAATATTTGTCTACTGTGGTGACACAATATATTGTCTGAAAATAATTTACTGTCTTATAGTACATGTAAGCAGGGGTTTTGGGCTTCCGCTTTTCAAAGACATTAATTATTTTGTTAGAAAACTCAGTCTTTGAAAAACTGCACTATTGTGCAAGATGCTATTCTCAAAGTATCATCCTTCTAATGAATTTAAAGAAGAAACCTCAAGGAGTTTATGATACTTATCAATTTGCAATATGGCCCACTTAAGGCTCAAATCTGTTCCTGTTTAAGACACCTAAAAAGTACTGTTGATGTCTATGCAATCAGGTCAGATTCTGCAGGGTGGGTTTTTTCAGAAGATGCATGAGAATAGACTTGGTTGAAAGAGTGTTCCAATTCATGGAAAGGCATCGTTTTTTAAAAATTTGATTTGAGTCCAGACTTTTAGTTTATAAGATGAAAATAATTCAAGCCAGTAGAAAAACCTGTAGAAAACCTGGGGAAATGGGCATTCTCATTTGTTTAATCTAAATTACTTACTTCAAGTCACTCCTGCACAAGGAGACCACCCCTGGGGATTTATAAGATTTACTGATTCCTCAGTGTTGATAAGTCCTGGCTGACGGTACAGTAAGCACTTCAAAAACTTGACATTTCCAGAGATTTAAGACACCAGGTTCTCCACAAGGCTCCAGAAACACTGGGACCTGAGTTCTGAGCCCCTTTATGTCACGGACCTAGGTACTCCCCAAATCTAACTCCAAGTCAAAGTCAGAGTGACCCAGGAACTTCAGTACTTTGTTCATTATCACAAGCCTAGAAAACTTATCATCATGACTGCTCCAGAGTCCCAAATCAGAAGATATCAGGGTCCTGCAGCATTTCAGTTTAGTAGTGTTTCTATGAAAATCCTGTCTTTGATTTTGCTGGGATGTTTGATATATATATTTCCGTTACACACAATAATAAAATGGTTTAAAAGCAAATTTGCTTTGTTGAAAATTTTCCTTTGGCAATAGTTTGACACCAAGTCTGCTTTAAATCGTTTCTCTATCACTTTTAAAGCTTAACACACAGATATAGGAGGAAAATTAGAAGGAAAGTAAGTTGTCTGTTTTAGATAAGGGAAGGGTGTAAGGCTACAAAAGAGTCACTACAGTGTCAAAGCAAATGATAAATTTCTCTTTATACTGTTCTCTTTAATAGAAATTTTATAACACTGCCAATATAATCTTGTTAAAAATATATAGCAATTCCTTCAGTAATTTAAAAATCAAATATCTCCATTACTATGTTGAGTGTGATTCCAGTAAAAACTCATTCCAAATGGTTACAACTAGAAGAATATATTTTTTTCTGATGTTTATACATCACCAATTTTAGTCCATGATTATCATTCTTTGATCTGGTTTCCAGACAACCATGTTATCTGTTCCACATCAGTCTCAGCAGAAGAGATTCTCCTCCCCTCCAAATCATCCTCATTTTGATTTAAAATGTGTCCTTTCATTTTTAGTGATGGGGAAAATTAGCAGAGTCATGATATATATTCTCTCAGTAGGAGATACCTTATCTGCATGCATTATTCTCAAAGCTGTCTTTCATTTTTCCTACTTTATTTTTTTTAAATTTGTCCGTTCAGAAAAAAAACATCTGTAGACTTTGTAAATATTTAGAAAGTGTGTGCCAATTTAGCCATTGGAATAGTCATGTTAGGACCAGTATGGCGTAATGATAAAGTTCATGTAAGCCTTTGCATTTTAATAGATTGCAATTCACACTCAGACTTTAATATCACACTTGAAACAATAGATTTGGGAAGTAAACATCATATTTAACCTCATTCTGTACAAAGTGTAGATTCATGTCTGAAAACTTAGTCAT